GGGCCAGCGTTCCCCGCCGCCTGGGGCTGTGCTTCATGTCCCAGGACGGAGTCCCCTGCACCCGAGTCCCACCGAGCTCCAGGTCTCTGACTTCCAGCACAGAGCTGGCCTGAGAAGACCTGGGTCCGTCTGGTGAACTGGACTGAACCCTACCCCCCCGCGCACCGCACGGTGCAGTGCGCATCAGAGGGCACAACACGTGTCTGCTTGGTGGCCTCAGAGYGACCCTGGGCTCACCGCCCACAGCCGTCATGTCTAGCAGGAGTACCAGGTTCCAAGGGCAGAGCTCTGAGCGGTGGGCTCCGCCTTGAAGGAGACGGGCTCTTGCCGACGCGTGCCACCTGCTCATGAGGATCCTTCCGTTCATATAAAGACTGAGTGTCTGTGTTTCAGTCAGCTCTTTGCTGCTGTGACCAAAAGACCCGACAAGAACCATCAGAGGGGAAAGGCGGTTTGGGTTACAGAGGCCAAGTCCGTAGACGGCTGGCCCATGGCTCTGGGCCTCAGTGAAGCAGAACTTCGTGGYGGAGTGTGGTGGAGGCACTGGGAAGCAGAGAGGGAGGGAGACTCCTCCCCACAGCACAGCCCAGGGACCCACTCACTCCTCCCCAGACCCTGCGGTCACCACCCGACTCTCAGGGCTGGMGGCTGACTGGCTCGCGGCTCTCACCACCCAGTCGTGTCACTTCTGAGCTTCCTGCAGGTCTCCCCCACGACCCTTTGGGGAACCCTCTTGTCTGAGCCACGACGCTCTGAGGGTGTTCCGTCCTGAACAGAGCGATGACGGTCCTTCCTTCTCTGAGCACCTTCTGAACATGGGAGTTTCCTTGTTATTTTGTTGGACTTGGGAGGGAGGATCTGAATCTCCTTAGAACCACTTTGCAATCTCAGGGCTGAACATCTCTAAGAAAGCRCCTGTTCCACATCTCATAGGGAACCTAATGCCATCAGGACACAAAGTGGAAGACAGGACTTTGATCTGGGGACGTGTGCTACTCGTTGGGGGGAAAGCTGTTGTACCCTGGAGGGAAGGGTCACGCTGAGTGCCTGGTGTTTGTGGAACTGGCACCACCTAGGTTTCCTCTTAGCACTCAGAACAGTCGAGGGCAGGTACTAGGAACTCAGAGAGGTTCTGGTGGGGTGGCTGAGGACAAGGAACTCCTGGAGAACAAGTCCGAGGCGGCATGTGACCAGGTGTGAGAGTGCATCCACGTGCTGAATGGTGACCGGCCGTGCTTGAGAGTGCAGGAGACAGGAGGAGATCTGGGGTCAGAGGAAGGAGTCCTGAACGTCAATGTGTGACCAAGTGGGTCGTTACAAAACGGTTTTCTTTGAAAACGTTAGGGCGAGTTTCACCAAGTCTTCTCCAGACCCAGGGAACCAGATTCCACTCCCGCCACCCGCTCAGGAGCACCTGGCCCTTCCTTAACTCGAACACACCATGTTTTATTGAAATTCTGTTTTYGTTTCTCCCTTTATGGAAGGTAAAGACAGTTAAATTAGCCGGGCATAGTGGCAAAYACCTGTAACCCCAGCAAATCAGGAGGCTGAGGCAGGGGGATCGCAAGTCTCAAAATTTTAAATGATTTTTAAAAAAGGGTCAGGATATCGCTCGTGGTAGAGCACCCTGGGTTCCATCCCCAGAACCAAAAGGAAAAACAAGTCAGGAAAGACGCACGCAGTAAAGACAGGGAACCCGTTTGCCTTTCCTCCTGGCTGGGTCCTCAGGGGCTGGCCGAGGCCTGGCACCTTGCAGCCATCCGTACAGTGGAAGGTTCCAGGTGGGGGTACCGAGGGGCCAGGGAAGACGGTGACAGGTTGCCTGCCTGTGTGCCTGGGGAACCTCAGAGCTCAGTGCTGAGCAGGTGAGGGGGACGGTGACAAGGCCGAGTCAGAGCGTCTCGCTGGCAGGCTCCAGCTGGCGTTTTAAGAACGGCTGGAAGCCGGGGACCACCGAGGCAAAGCGGTGGAGGGATCCCATGCATGGACAGACTCTGCCCTGGGCCTGGGAACTGCCTTTGCCCGTGCACACTTCCTGCTGAGAGCCTTTTAGTGCAGCGTCCCGAGAGCTCACCAGTCCCTGGTCACAGGTTTCTTGGGCTAGGAGATGAGGGCCAAAGGGGAGCCGATGTCCTGGAACCTGGCTCCGCGGGACCTTTCACATCACGAGCTGAGYGGCTGGCGGTTCCTCAGTTCTCCGACTCGGCCTGAAGGTCGGCAGGAGTCGTAAGTGAGAGGCCTGCTCCTCTTTCCTCCGGCAGGGCCTGCCTGGCTGCTGGGCCTGCTCGGCTGAATTCCGTTGCTCCCTCCCTCGGAGTCGTCTTTCCTCATGCGCTTCCCGATTTTCCAAGGTGCTCCCTTCTCAAGGTGCTGCACTCTCTGCAGGTGGATCCCTTGCCCATAAGTAAGGAAGCCAGCGGTCAGGCCTTTCAGCAGACRAGACCAAAGTGCCACGGTCTCTGTCTGGAACCGTTTTTATGCTTTCTTGGGGACTTGCAAGRAATGAGTGACAGAGAACTTCAGGGAGATGTCGTCAGGGACTGAAAACATGTCCCCAGTCCTGGAAGAACAGAACATGTACTTGTGTGGCTTCCCTTCTGGGTCCCGTCCSGTGGCCTCTCGCCCCCCACCCTGCTCTTCCYTTCCTCTCTCTTTCCTCCTGGCCAAGGCTCCTCTCTCCCCTTGCGCTCTCTCTCTCTCCCTCTKCCCTGCTTGTCAGTGAGGGCTGTCTTTTACTTACGGGCTGAGCCTGTTCCAGGCTGAGCTTTCCGTTCATCGTCCACCTGCCCTGTGGCCTGAGTGCTGTCCACCTGGTGGACAGGAAGCACAGACTGCACACTCAGCGCAGYGCGGCGCACAGCCGCAGGGATCTGAACTCTGATTTCCGTGCCGTCTTCTCCTAACATCCTCAGGTTTCTTCTCCTCCGTTAGGAACTCCCCATCATTCCCCGTKTCTGATCCTCTGCTCTCCTTCAATTCTTTCCCTCCGTCTCCTTCCTTCTTGGCTCTCTCGCACCCAACGCCAGTCACTGCCCGTCTGGGGCTGACCCTGAAGGTGCTGAACGCGWACGCGTGCCCAGGAGAGGTGGCAGACCATTCAGACGCTTGTCTTATCAGCCCGTTTCCTTCTGAGCACATGCTCCACATTCTCCACGTTGGGAGGCCCAGGACGGGCCCTTCTCCACCTGAAGTAAAGGGCAGATGTTTGGTCACCAGCCAGGGGAGGGCCTCAGCCCTGGGTGAGTCTCTGATATGGAGAGGAACAAGGAGAAGACCTTCCACTCACTCAGGGACTCTGTCACCCTCAGGGACCCCACCTGCTCTCAGGGTTGGGGACCTGGGGCTGGGAGGAGTCAGAACCGGAGACTGTCTCTGGTGAGGCCTCACCTCGGGAGTCAGTGGAGGTGGACCGTGAGAGGCAGCACCCACCCTGCCTTCCCCACGGCATCAAGCATGTTCCAAAAGGAACCAGAGGGTTGGCATCAAGACATGGAGGTCAAAATGTGACCTTGACCACCCAGGGTCCTGTCAACTCTAATGTGTGCCTCGGGGCGTGGGCCAGCCTTTCTGGAATTCCGTGGGCGCTTCAGACCTTTGGCCCCCACAGCCCTGTCYGTGGGCAGGAAGCAGAGGAGAGGGAAGAACTGTGGTGAGGCGCCTCACTCACCGGGGGACAGAGAAGCCTTTCAGAGCACTCCGTCCCCACGGGGCGCCCTGGTCCTGCGGGAGCGCGTCCAGGTTTGCCTCCTCTAGTGGGACGCGGCGAGGACCAGGAGCTGGCCTCTTACCAGTTAGGAACACGGAGGCTCAGGGCTCTTCCTTCGCCCAGCCAGGCTCCCTGCACGTCYGCTCTGGGCCACGCTCTGGTGATACAGAGGAAAGTCCCTGGTTTCAAAACGCCTCTGTTGGAAGAGCCCAGACRGGAGAGGTTATAAAACGTGTGTGGGAGAGGGGTGAGTGTCCCGTGTCCCCGCAGTGTGAGCAGGAAGGGTGCGAGCCATCCCGGAATGGGTGAGAGCTTGGGAGGTAAGAGTCACCAGCCAGAGGAGAGGCCCAGGAAGTCACAGTTGACAGGAGAGGATGCTGAGTCCGTCAGGACCGGCCTGCGGGACAGAGGGAGCCCAGCACTCAGCGAGTCCCCCAGGTGGACCTGCAGAGCCAGGCAGCCAGCAGCAGCCGCGGAGCTGAGCGCTCCTCCCTGACACCACTGAGACCTGCTGTTCCTCCCTCTCCACACGGCTGTCCCCTGGATGGTCTGTCATTCCAGAGTGCTTCCCGAGAAGCCAAATCTGCCACAGCCAACCTCCTTCCTTCTCTCCCACCTACGCCTCCGGAACCCTGAAAGATTCCTTTTCTGTCAATCATCCAAAYCCACGGATGTTTACCCCAGAGTTCTCAGCACATCAGACCCTTCATCTACCTTGATGCTCCAGATCCTCTCGTCACTTATTTCCATCCCCATCGACAGATAAGGAAGCAGATTCCCTGAAGTCCATGTGAGTCGCGGTTCCTGCAAACTCYAGCTCTGTGTTTCTCTCTCCAGTGTTTGTCTGGTGTGGTCTGTGGACTGTCTGCACCAGAATCTCCTGGGCTGCTTGTGGCAAAGCCAGGTTCTGGGGCCATCARCCTCCTGAGGTAGAATCTCTGGGAGTCTGAGCACAGGTTCCAACTGGAACTCACACCTCAGCTGACATCTAGATCCTTCCAAGTGTGGAAGCCAAATCCCCTCTCTTCATGTTTGCTGGGGGCTGGGAGTAGAGGACACTTGATTCTACGTTGGTCCGGATCAAGGTCCAGAACATGACGGACCTGGCCGACCTTTGCAGAAACACCCTTCTCTCTCTCTCTCTCTCTCTCTCTCTCTCTCTCTCTCTCTCTC